TGCCCCCCCGGTCTCGGCCCGTGCTCTGGCTCTGCGGCCTCCTCCTCCTCTTCCTCCCTCCCCATTTATCCCCTCCTTCCTCCCTCCCCTTATCCCCTTCCTCCTCCCTCCCCTTATCCCCTTCCTCCTCCCTCCTCCCTCATCCCTCCTCTTCCTCCCTGCTCCCTCCTCTTCCTCCCTCCTCTTCCTCCCTCCTCTTCCTCCCTCCCCTCATCCCTCATCCCTCCTCCCTCCCCTTATCCCCTCCCTCCTCCCTCCTCTTCCTCCCTCCTCCCTCCTCTCCCTCCCTCCTCCCTCCTCTTCCTCCCTCCTCTCCCTCCCTCCCCTTATCCCCTTCCTTCGCTGGCAAGGACCCAAGACCTCTGAACGTGAAAGTGGAGGCAGGGATGCCAGGATGACTTGCCCCTTCTCTCCTCCTCCTCCCTCCCCTCCCTCCCCTTACCCCCTTCCTTCCTTCGCTGGCAAGGGCCCAAGACCTCTGAACGTGAAAGTGGAGGCAGGGATGCTAGGATGACTTGCCCCTTCTCTCCTCCTCCTCCTCCTCCCTCCTCTCCCTCCCCCTCCCTCCTCTCCCTCTCATCCTCCTCCTCCTCCTCCTCCCTCCCCTCCCTCCCCTCGCGCGCTGGGCGCGCGCATACTGCACAGCTGGCGCGCGCAGCCCTGTGAAGGTCCCGAGGCTGCACCGGCGCAGTCCGGCGGGGGCCCCAGACTACAGTGGGGGCGTTGACCTAAGGAACGCTAAATAAGGAACGAGGCCCATTTTCCCATCAGTTCAAGTTCGATTCCCCATCGAAAACAAAAGGAAAACCTAAGGCAAGCTGTGCAACAATCAAGGAACACGGAGCCCCTCCCCAACGAAAAGGGTTCTTTCTTCAGGGCCCCGACTGTACAGCCGGGCGGTTTCATTGTTGAAGTCGGTTCTGTGCGGCAGAGTGTTGTTCTGGGCTCCTTGCCCTGCACGTTCAGTACGACACCGCCTGTACCCCGGGCTCGCCCGCCCTCGGCCGCCTGAGGCCCCGCCTTCCTGTGCCCTGTCTCCCTAACTAAAGCTGCGCGCAGCCCGCCCAGCTTTTAGCGGAAGAGGCTCGCTCTCGCCCCGCCGACCAAAAAAGTGTTGTTCTGGGCTCGAGTGCGCGTCAACGAAAGAACAGACGCCTAAGACCGCGACGACATATGATAGACAACAGACGACAGACGAAAGACGACGACGACGAAATCGACGTCTCTGGATGTGATTGGGCGTCTCTTGCGGCTCTCGTCGCTGATGGGGGTCCAGCTACGAGGGGGTGGTGCAAGAGATCTGGTGTACCAGATTTGCGGGTTGCAATCGATTTCGGGCGTGCAATACATTCTGGGGCGCAAATGTATTGCTGGATTTTCGCGTGCAGTACATTAGTTACACTACAATTCAATACAATTCTCCGGCGCAGTACGTTTACAATACAATCGCCCCAAATCTATAGCACCACCCCTTTTCAGCTGGACCCCCTTTGGGGTCAAACGAAAGGCAGTTTGAAAGACTGGTCAGAATGGACCCCGGGAGGGCTTCGGGGACCCAGTTTGACGCCCACGACGGCTCGCACCCACGCTTCAGAGAGGCCCCTAGGAGGCCCCAGGAGAAGCCCCCAGAGATCCGACGCTCCAAAGAAATCGGAGCGGCAAGATTTGGCTGTTTTCGGCCTCCGGGGGCCCTCGCCGGGCCTCGGGAGCGTAAAATAACAACTCAGGGCGAAAAGCGGCCTTGGGGAAGTGGCCCAGACCAATCGAAAAAAATGGGAGCGAGCGGATGTTTGGGCACGTGCAAGGCCCTAGGAGAAGCTGGGGAGGCTCCCAGAAAAGCACCGCACCGGGAACGCCCAGGAGGCCCCAGGAGGCCCCAGGACCCACATCTCTCCCGGATCCTCCTCCTCCTCCTCCTGCTCCTCGCCATCGTCCTCTTGAAGGATCCTTCCCACCCTCCCTTGTTCTCCTTCCTCCTCCTCCTCCTCCTCCTCCTCCTTCTCCTCCTCCTCCTCGAGCTTGTCCAGAATGACCCAGACATGTCCCAACAACGGAAACAGCAAAAGGTCAACACGCTACACACTTACCGATCTGCCTGGACAGCTCGAGCGCCAGTATTTCGCTGCAGGCGATTGCGGAGCCGCTCGGGACGCTAATTTTCGACCCGCGTGAAGGAGCGAAAGAACTCGCCCGTCACTGGGGACAAGTGCACAGAGCCGTGGATGCTGATCCCGCGGCCATGTCCGAGCTGCTCTTTGATGTCCCCCGGATTCCTGGCAACATTCAGTGGAGGTTGGAGGAGGAGGAGTTTATCAAGATGATGGGTAAGGCTCATGATAGCGCCCCAGGCCCCGACGGGATCCCGTATAGCGGTTGGAGCAACTCTGGCACTCTGGGGACGTCTACTTTATATCGTTTATATCTTCATATTTTGGATCAGGGTGAATGTCACAGGGGCTTTAACCATGGGTGCAATATCTGTTTAGCCAAAGGAGTTGAGGAGGGGGACGAGCAGCTCTGTATGCGCAAGCCCTCTGCTACTAGGCCGCTCACATTGTCGTGCACCTCGAATAAGCTGATCTCGCTTGCTCTCAACAAGCCCTTGAGCGCCATAAGTCAATTCACGTGCATCAAGCAGCAGAAGGGGTTCGTGGGTGGGAGGAATATGAACGATAATATTCTTGAGCTCGAGTATTGTGCGCCCCGCTGGTATGTGCAACGGCATTGTTTAAAGGCCGGCCTCATCTTTTACGATGTTCGTGCCGCGTTTCTCAGTCTGCTGCATGAAGCAATGTTCGCAACATTTGATGCCATGGGAGTGCCACCCTCTTCATCAAAGCCCTGAAGTGTCTCTATCGTGGGGTCTGGATATCTATTTCGTATCGTGGTATGCATCGGGACATAGGTTACTGGCTCACCCGCGGCATCAAGCAAGGTTGTCCTGCCAGCGGATCGCTCTTTGCGCTGGCCGTGGACCCAGTGCTTCGCAAGATCTGTCTCCTGCTGCCGCGTCCTGTCCACTCACTGGGAGCCTTTGCGGACGATGTCGGCCTCGGCTCTGGAGACATCGTCAACGCCTTTTTCCTCAGCATGAGCGTGTGGGCCCTGGCTGGCCCCTGGATTTGGTCTGTACGTCAACTTGGACAAAACTGTCGTGGTGCTTCTAGGTATGAGTCAAGCTGATTTTCTGGCCGCGCTGGGAGTCCTCGGGTTGAACGCTCCTGATCTTAAGTTCGAGGCTCATGGGAAGTACCTCGGGGTTCGTCTTGGCCCTGATAGTATCGACGCGTCCTGGGAGCCCGCCCTTCAGAAGTTCGTCCGCCGCATCCATCTAATTCACGGCCTCGGGTTGGGGCTCACCAAAACTGTCGCTCAATATAACATGATCGCTTTCTCGGTGCTCACCTTTCTGTGCCAGCTAGCGCCAGTTACCCAGAGGTGCCTGAAGCTCGAGAGGTCTGGGCCCCAGAAGCTCACGATGGGCCCCAACAGCGCCATTACTGCCAAGGTGGTGATGGGCCTCACACAGCTCGGGTTTCCTCTTGATGCACGCTCGCTCGCGCTCGTCAGCCGCGCGGCCATGTACCGTGCTGCCTCCTACTCGCCCGCCTTTTTTGAGATTCGGAACGACCTGAGCGCTTTCGAAGACGACGACGACGACTGCTGCCACGCATGGACTGAACATCCCTCGTGGAAAACAAGTATCTTGAAGGCTATGATGAACAACTATGACGAGATGATTGCTATCCCTGGCATGCCCCAAAATGCGTTCCCCCTCCAGAAAAAAAAAAGCCAGAGCAGGCTCTCCGCCGTCATCACCACCAAGATGTGACCGCCTGTGTAATAGCCCGTGCTAGAAAATACGACCCGCACATGTCTGCCTGGAATATCAAGTGTTTTATCCTGGCCTTCCTGAGGGCCGCTCAGAAAGTTCCGCCCTCGGTCCTTTCGTCTTTTCTCAAGACGGTGTGCAATGCTTGGTGCACTTCTGGGCGCTTTCGGTCGGCCACCCGTGCCTGCCCGATGTGTGGCCTTACTGAGGCCGACCATCGTAAACACATTCTTGAATGCCCTAGGTTTGACTGTATTACTATCTTCCTGCCCCATCTCCCCGCCCAGTTCTGCCTCGCCGACGGTTTGTCTAGGCGTCAGGTTTATAAGATTTTCCCCTTACCTGACCCCGCACTGGTTTCGATTGTGATGTATATTGACGCGTGCTTCATCACTTACCATACCATCCGCTCTCGGCCTGCAGCCGCTCGTTCTGCCATTGCAATTGCACAGGCCCGATTTCAACAGGTAGTGAGGAGGCGCCACGACCTGTCCTTGCTCCTGGGCGCGCCTCCTGTCGGCCTTCCTGGACAGGCTGGACCGCCCCGCCAAGGTTTCGAATGCAGGCCATAGCATTCTTAGCCTTCCCCCGATGCGAGTTCCCTCCTCCTCCTCCTCCTCCTCCTCCTCCTCCTCCTCCTCCGCCTCCCTCGTTCTCCCTCGTTCTCCCTCCTCCTCCACCTCCTCCTCCTCGTTCCTATTCCTGGTTGCCTTCGTCCCCCCCCCCGCCGTGCCGTCGCCACTGATTCGGGAGAAGCGGGCCTCATCCCTGTTCTGCGAGGGCCCGGGAGCTACCGAGTCGGGCCCCCGCGGCGGTCGCAGTTCCGCGGGCGCCCGCTCCTCTTCCTGCTCCTCCTCCTCCTCCTCCTCCTGCTCCTCCTCCTCCTCCCCCTCCTCCTCCTCCTCCTCATCATCATCAGCATCATCCTCTCTGCGTCCTGGCTTCGTCTTGGCCTCCTCCTCCTTCTGCTCCTCCTCCTCCTCCTCCTTTTCTTCCTCCTCCTCCTCCTCCTCCTCCTCTTCCTCATCCTCCTCCTCTTCCTCCTCCTCCTCCTCCTCCTTCTCTTCTCTCTGCGTATTGGATTCGTCTTGGCACGCTCTTCGTCCCTGGGCTCTCCCCCAGAGAGGGCCTCCGAGCTCCTCCTCGTTCGGGGTTGGACAGAGCTCCTACCCTGACACGTCGATTGAGGAATTGGCAGTTCTCGGTTCGCGAGAGGGCGTCGCGGCCGCCATTTTGCGGGTCCACGTCCGTCGGTTTCGGTCCCAGGCCATTTTCACTAAGGGGAGGCTTACTAAAGGGAGGTTTGTCCACCGCCAAAATTCCCTTGTGTTGGGATCAAGAAGCGACGCGCAACGGGAATTTCGCCCTGGGGATGGGGTCGCGAGTTCCCAGGGCCCATGGGCAGCCCACGTTGCGAGGGCTTCCGAGGTTTGTGCACTCAGCCTCCGCAGTGTAGCTCATTATTTCAAACGGGGTCTTACAAGAAGAGGACTACGGCCGGACCGAGGTATAAGATCGAGTTCGGTCTGGGCAGGGTACCCTAATGTGCTTCGTTCTTGTGCATCATGGGGGAGGGTCCCGTCGAATGTTTTTCAGCTTGGCCGGCGGAGGGTCTCATGTTCTCGACGAGTGCTCTTCTGCACTAGGTCCGGCCGTACAGCGCCATTCAGGCGGGGAAAACGCACAGACACAATTAAACATCGATCCCAAAGAAAATATGGGAAGACATGGGTATTGGGCGGGAAGACCAAAACCCAGAAAAATATTGGAAATATGGGAGTCCTTATAATTGTGTGTATTTATTTGTGTGTCTTTGGGCCCCCAGTTAGCCATGGCGAGCCAAGTCGCAGGTCGAGCCCCACTCCTCCTGGGGGGGGGCCAGCGGACCCGACCGTGCTCAAGAGCGGCAAGATAGTGCTGATCTACGGGAAGGCCCCAGCCGCAGGTCGGGCCGGACGAAAGGGGGGGATTGGGAAAGGGGGGGTTACGAAATCTGCGGCATGCAGTTGGTTTCGGCCCCACCGAGGGGCCCATTCCTCGATACCTGGCCGCCTCCCGGCGCCAGGAGGCGCTGGGAAAATCAGCTGCGTGAGCTGATTCTCAAGCCCCCCCTTTGCTATCCCCCCCTTTCGCCCGGCCCGAGAAGGTTGGGACGGCCACCGCGGCATCGGAATCGGCATGAAATTCAGGACGCCCCACCCCGCAGCCAGGTGAAGAAGGAGAGAGAGAGGGTGGGGAGGATGATGACTGATTCGAGTTGCCGTTGGCTTCTGGACGGGTCGGGATCGCTTCGTCTCCCGCGCGGAACGCGGGACGCTCTGCAGAAGCACGTTCCGGATGCTTGCCCAACTGCTGGGGGAGGCCGCGCTGCGAGGGCCAGCGCGAAGCAGCGCACCGCAGGTGCTGCGTGGCCCGAGGTCCCCGCGGGAACTATGCACGGTGCCGCGCCGCGCGCGGACTTCGCTCCATGCCCTGAGCGCCTCCCCGGGGCCTCTGGACTAGGTGGTCACTAATTCACAACAGACGCCCAATCCCAAAAACGCGAGGGCCAGAACAGAACGCGGGCTCCTCGAGACTTCGGGGGGGGGAGATTTTTGGGCCCGTGGATCTAGGCCTCCCAGATGGGGTCGGAGTAGATGGGGCCGGAGGATCGCGCCGCATCGGCGATGCATCGGCGATGTGGCTCGATTTTGGACCCAATTTTATCCACGCCGACGTCGCCAGTGCATCGCCGATGTATCGGCGATGCGGCGAGATCCTTCGACCCCATCTACTCCGTCCCCATCTAGGAGGCCTCTAGTGGAACAGGTGGGGCTCGTGCGACCTGTCAACGCAGGCGTGCGGCAACCATGGAAAGCCAATCCGCAGCGAAAACCTTCCAGGCACACCCTGGGCTCAAGTCGGGCAGATGTCCCTCTACCGGAGGAATGTTCACATCAGCATCAACAAATAGTCTGGGGACGATTTTCCACTATCGCTGATTGTTTTTGAGCAATGTTTGACTATTGCCGAGCGTTCCTTCTAAATCCGCCTGGCCCGACCTAACCCTGGGCACAATAGGCACCAAGCATGCAACCATACTACGGTGGGGGCGTTCGTTCAGGAATGCGTCCAGGAGGCTTCAGACCCTGGAGGATCCCTTGTCTGATGAGGGCAGCGGTGAGAGCCATGGCCAAGCCTCGACTGACGTTCCACAAGTTTCCAGACCCCGGATTCCTTATCTAATGGAGGATGACGATTCATAAATGACCGGGGGTCGTGTTCACGCGGCGGCGCCAGGGATGACGATGAGAAAAAACCGGCCGCGGGCTGGAAAACTATTTTTTGATCGTTCTCCTCCAGTCAGAAAATTGTGCAGGCATAGCAGAAAACTGTGTTTTTAATCGTTCTCTCCCATTTTTTATTAATCGTCATCCCGCATTAGGGGTTCCTAATCCTTCTCCTCATCCCCGTCCTTCTTCTCCTCCTGATCCCCCTTCCTCTCCTCCTCCTGACCCTCTCATCCCCTTCTCCGCTTCACCTTCTTAGGAGCAGCAGTGGGAGCGAGAGCTCGACGCGTCGGCGACGTGCCAATTGAGAGGAGCAGCAGGAGAAGCAGAAGAAGGGGAGGTGATGAGGGAGAGTCCGTGGTGAGAAGGACAGATAATCCCAATGCTGGGCGATCCGGG